ATATGTTCTCCAAACACAAAAATAAAATGAAATATCAAAACAAAACATTCCAAATTCACAAATATGTGGAAATTAAATAAGAAACTCCTAAATAACCAATGAGTCAAAGAAGAGCTCACAAGAGAAAACAGAAAATACTTTAAAATAAATGAAAATAAAAACACATCATACCAAACCTTATGAGATGCAGCTAAAGCAGTGCTTAGAAGAAAATTTATAACTGTAAAAACATACTTAAAAAGAAGAAAGACTCATTTCAAAATAATTATCTTAACTTCCAACTACATAAACTAGAAAAAGAACAAACTGAAGCCAAAACAAGAAGAAGGAAGGATTACAGTGGGAAAAAATAGAGAATAGAAGAACAATAGGGAAAAAAAAACTATCTGAGAGTTAAAAAAGAAACCAATTATCAGGTAAATTTTAAAGGGAGCAAAAAAAAAATCTGGGCTCTACCACATTTTCCATCTGTGCCCTAAAGGCAGGCACAGTCTGTTGGAGGGATGTGGGACAACTCATACCCCAAAAGAAATAACTTGCTGTCTTTCTGGCTGAAGATACTAGGGGAAGGAGCCTAGGCAATGTGGCCACCACAGAATGACATAGGGATTCAGGTTCTTTGAAAAGATCAACAAAATTGGCAAGCCTTTTATTTTTCTTTTCTCTTTTTAACTTTTAAATTTTTTTTATTTTAAAGATGTGGGGTACAATTCAGCGTTAGGTATACAAATATTCATTATGCAGTACCCTTATTGATGAGGTGTGCCCCCCCCTCCCCAGGCAGATCCCCACTACCTTTAACTAGGCTGAGCAAGACAAAAAAGAGAAGAGAAATTACTAAAATCAAGGATGAACATCAGGAGCAGTGGCTCATGCTTATAATCCCAGTGTTTTGGGAAACCAAGGTGGGAGGATCTCTTGAGCCCAGGAGTTCGAGACCCTGGCAACATAAAGAGATCCCTGTCTCTACAAAAAAAATTTTAAAAAGAAAAAAGAAAAAATTACTACTGACCTTATGAAAATAAAAAATATTCTAATAGGATTCTATGAACAAGTGTATGCCAACAAAATAGATAACCTAGATGACCTGGACAAATCCTAGAAAGACACAAACCACTGAAACTGACTGAAGAAATATAGAAAATCTAAAAAGACCTATAATAAGAGATTGAGTTAACAATAAAAATCTTTTCATAAAAGAAAGTCAGACCCTGATGGCTTCACTGGTAAGTTTTAACAAATGTCTAAAGAATTGACTCATCCTTACAAACTCTTCAAAAATTTTAAGAATACGTCCAAGTTCATTCTGTGATGCCAGTATTGCCCGGCACCAGTATCAGACAAAGTCATTACAAGAGAACTACATAGGCCAATGTCCCTATGAATACAGATGCTAAATAAATAATTAAAAATACTGGCAAATTGATCTAGAAATTTTTTTTTAAAGGTGATCTACAACATAACCAAGCAGGATTTATCCTAGCAATGTGAGTTTAGTTCTCCATACAAAACCACTCAATTACACCACATTAATGGAATGAAGGACAAAAACTGCATGATTATCAATCGATGCAGCAAAAGCATTTAACAATATCTAATACCCTTTAATGAGAAAACAAACATACAAAGAACCAGGAATAGAAGAAAACTTTCTCAACATGATAAAGGACATCTACAAAAAACCTAAAGCTATCATTATACTTAATGAAATACTGAAAGTTTTCCTCTTAAGATTAGGAACAAGATAAGAATGTCCACTCTCACCTCTTCTATTCAATGTTGTGTTGGAGGTTTCAGCCGGAACAATCAGGCAAGAAAAACAAACAAAAGCGATCCAAGCACAGTGGCTCAGACTTGTAATCCCAATACTTTGGAAGGTTGGGGCAGGAGGATCACTTGAGAACAAGATTCCAGATCAGCCTTGGCAACACAGTGATACCCCTGCTCTTCAAAAAAAAAATCTTAATTGGTGGGCATGGTTGCACAAGCCTCTAAGCCCATCTACTCAAGAGGCTGAGGCTCTAGGAGGATCTCTTGAACCCAGGAGTTCAAGCCTACACTGAGCTATGATCACACCAGTGCACTTCAGCCTGGGTGACAGAACAAGTTCCTGCCCCCAAAAAGGGGAAAAAGTAAAATGATCTCTATTTACAGATTATACAACAAACATTACATATAGAAAATCCTAAGAGACCCATAAAGATACTTAGAGTCAGGCATGGTGACTCACACCTGTAATTCCAGCACTTTGGGAGGCAAAGGCAAGAGGATTGCCTGAGCCTAGGGGTTCAAGACCAGCCTGGGCAACTTGGCGAGACCTTGTCTCTACACTAAAGAAAAATTAGCCAGGTGTGGTGGCACACACCTGTAGCTCTAGCTACTTGGAAGGCTGAGGTAGAAGGATCACCTGAGCCCAGGAGGTAAAGGCTGCAGTGGCCGTGAGTGTGCCACTGCACTCTAGCCTGGGTGACAGAGACTCTGACTTAAAAAAAAATAAAATAAAAAATAATTAGAGCTAATAAACAATTTTAGCAAAGTTTCAGGATACAAATTCAATACACAGAAGTCAGTTACATTTCTATATACTAACAACTAACAATTTGAAAATGAAATTAAGAAAACAATTTCATTTCCATGAAAATGAACAAAAACATTAGGAACAAATTTAACCTAGGGGGGTGTAAGACTTGTATGCTGAAAACTATAAAATATCACTGAATGAAATTAAAGACCCAAAAAATAAAAGCACATTCCATTTTCATGAACTGGAAGATTAAATATTATAAATATGGCAAAACTCCTCTTGATAGAGACTCAAACAAACTATCAAATCCTAGCTGCCTGTTTTCTTTTTTTTAATAAATTGACAAGCTGATCATAAAATTCATATAGAAATGCAAGGGACTCGATCTTGAAAAAGAAAAACATGTAGAAGAACTCACATGTTTCAATTTCAAAAGCTTTCACAAAGCTACAGTAGTCAAAACTGTGTGGCACTGGCATGATGATAAACATATAAATTCGTCAAATAAAACTGAGAGTCCAAAAACAAATCATGCCTCTACAGTCAACCAAATTTCAACAAGAGTGCCAAGAGTATTCAATGAGAAAATGGTGCTTCAACATATGGTGCTGGAACAACTATTTAGCCACATGCAAAAAAAACAAAAGTGGAACCCTATCTCATACCACATATAAACATTAACTTAAAGTGGACCATGGACCTAAATGTAAGAGATAAAACTATAAAACTCTTATAAGAAAGCATAATGTAAATCTTCATGATTTGGAATTAAGCAATAATTTCTTGAATATGACATGTAAAGCATAAACAACAAAAAAATAGATAAATTGGACTGAATCAATGAAAAACTTTTGTGCTTTAAAGGATACTCACAAAAAAGTGAAAAGACAACCTACAGAAGGGGAGATGTTTGTAAATAACAAGTGTAATATAAGGGTCTTATATCTACAACATACAAAAAATCCTTAGACATCAATAACCCAATTTTTAAAATTGGGCAAAGTATTTGAATAGATATTTCTCCAAAGAAGAGACACAGATAGCCAATAAAACCATAAAAAGCTGTTCAATATCACTAGCCATCAGGGAAATACAAATCAAAACTCTCATGAGATCCCAATTCGCACTCATTACAAAGGGTATAATCAAAAAGAGGAACAAACAAGGGTTGGTGAGGATGTGGAGAAAATGGAACTATCATACATCACTGGTGGAAATGCAAAATGGTATAGCCACTGTGGAAAATAATTTGGCAGTTCCTCCAAAGCTAAAACACAGTTTGCAAATGACCCAGCGGTGTACCTACAGTTGGCCCTTTCCCTGGGTTCTGGCCTTTAAAGGTATGTTTGAGACAACTTTAGCTCTCCATACGTTCTGGATTGACTTCAAGGCAGAATATCCTGAGACTGCCACAAAAACACTGAAAAACCTGCTTCCATTTCCAACCTCCAATCTTTGCGAAGCAGTGTTTTTTGCAGTAATAGCAAACAAAATGAGATTACAGAGTAGACTGGACATAAGCAACACACTTCGGGTGTCACCGTCTCCCATCACCCCAGATGGGACCATCTAGTTGCAGGGAAAGCAGCTCAGGACTCCCACTGATTCTGCATTAAGATGAGTTGTATAATAATTATATATTACAGTGTAATAATAATAGAAATAAAGGGGCAACCCCTTCGGGTCCCCTCCCACTGTGGGAGCTTCTCTGTCCTCTCAATAAATCCTGCTTTCTCACTCTTTTTTTCAAAAAAGAAAGTACACAATAAATAATGCACTTGAGTTGTCCCGAAACCATTCCCCCTCAACCCTGGTTCATGGAAAAACTGTCTTCCATGAAACCAGTCCCTGATGCCAAAAAGGTTAGAGACCACTGATTTAACATATAAAGGAGGATGTGCAGGTTATATGCAAATACGACTCCATTTTATATCAGGGACTTAGGACTTGAGCATTGCAGATTCTGGTATCTGTGGGGGTCCTGGAACCAACACTCCCTCCCGGCTGCAGACACTAAAGAACAACTGTATATCCAAGAAATTGAAAATACATATTCAATTCAATATATTCAAATATTTATTCAACACAAATGTACACAGTAGCATTATTCATAATATCCCAAAAGCAGAAATAACTCAAATATCCATCAACAGATGAATGCATAAACAAAATGTGGTACAGATTGAGGATCCTTTATTCAAAATGCTTGGAACTAGAAATATTTTGGAATTTTTTTGTTTCTTATTCAAATGTTGGAATATTTGAACATACATAATGAGATATCATGAGGATAGGAACCTAGTCTAAACACGAAGTTCATTTGTGCTTCATATACACCTTATACACATATGCCTGAAGGTAATTTTAGACAGAAAAAAAGACAGAAATCAAACTATCTGGTTCTGTGATCTGTAACAAATATCTCCACACTTTTTCAATCTTCAATAACTAAGGAAAAAAGAAAGAAACTACTTACTTGTCGACCCACAGCACTGAAACAAGCTTTACCCCTCTCTTCTGAGCTTTGTCCCAGGTGCTCTGGTATCCATCTTTGAATACAACATGAGTTACTTGTTTGTTAAAAGTTTTTGAAACCTGTAGACATAATGCAGAAAACAAAAGGTAAATTATTATTCACTCACAATTTCTCAAGTACAACTGATCAAAAATGAGACTTTATTCAGTATGTGTCAGAATAAAAATGTCTAAAATCCCTGTCCCCGAAATTCTATTTCTCAGAATCTGCCACAAGAAACACACAAAGGAATGCACAGTGCTGCTTAAAAGCAGATCTGTTCTAGTGAGAATGGTGTTTTCCTCTGCTCCCTCTCAAAAACCTCCAAAGTGCTACTGAGAGAAAGAGGCTGGGCACAGAGAGAGAGAGAGAGAGGGAGAGAGAGAGAGAGAGAGAGAGAGATAAAGGGAGGTGAAGAAGGTGGAGAGATGTCACATGCAAACAATGAGGAATGCCAACTGAATCAGACTTATCAATAGTCTGGAAGTGAGAAAACAATGGGGCATGGCTTCAAGGGAAAATATATGTGCTAGTGTTTTACAATTAACTAAAATATCAATCAAAGGTAATGGTATAATAAAGGCATGTTCAGACACTCCTGTGTCACAAATTTTACTTTATATGTACCCTTTCCAGAAGCGTAAGTCATTCACGAAATGTTTTTATGATATTCAACTGTATTGAGGTAATATATGTATACTGTTTGGAAATATGAAGGCAAATACCTAACAAAACAGATGATCTGAAAGTAACTTTTTAAAAAATGGAAAAGGATGTGTAAAGCAGAGTTGTTGGTTTCTCTTTGTTTTCATTATAAACTTCACGGCATTGCCTTTTAGCTGTTTTAAACAATGCATATATATTATTTTATAAAACACACACACACTTCAAGGTCCTGGAGTCAAGAATAACTGGGCTGAAACTCTAGATCAACACTGACACCCATAGAGATTAGTGGAGGATATGAGACCATTTTTCCCTAAGGCTTTTGTCAAATTTAGCAAACACTAAGCAGTATTTCTAAATGCCCTGTAATCAGGAGGACAAAAATTGGAGCACAAGCCTCAAAATGAGAGAAAGGAGTCTGATAAAACCCCTACACTCTGGGTTGAGACCCAAAGAACTGTATCTAGGATGAACCAGAAGTTATAATGACCCTCACAGGTCTGCAGTCTAAATCTTGAAATTGGATTAAGATAATCCTCGATTAGGAATACTACAAATATCCAACCCGAAGCAAGTATACATCTCTTTTGAAAAAAGATAAAACAATTCTATGTCTTACATGATTTAAAAATAATGTTCAATATACATTTGCTATCTCCACTTCCTCATATATTAACGTTCCCTGGACTAATTTGGATCCCTTTACCCATTTCATTGAAAACTGCTCTAAAATCAACAATGACCAGTCTTCAAATCTAAAGTACATCTGCCAATCTTTTCTTTCTTAAAGACTGCAGTTTTTAAAAATTCCATCTTTGAAATCATCCCCTCCTTTGAATCCATACTTACCTCATTCTCCTGCATTCTTCTCTCTCTCTCTATCTCTGGGTCCCTACTCCTATCACAAGCCTTTGACTACTGAACAAGGTTCTTCTGTCAGCACTCTTCACCCTAACCCCATGTGGGCTAACACCAATTAACTCACCTGAATCCTCTTGACCCCAAAAATCATTATCTCTAGCCTTGAACATCTCAAGTTCCAGTTTTATATATCCAAACATCTAACAGATACTTTCAATATGCCCAAATTTCCATCCTTTCCCTTAGAAACTTGTTCCTTTTCCTGTATTCCTCATTTTGATTAATAGCACCATGCAACCAAGTAACCAATGTTAGAATCCAGATTTTCATCCTAGATCCTGCCTTCTCACTCAATGCTTACAAGCCTAATTGTTCCATAAGTCCTGCTGTTCTAAATTCTTCCTATTTGGGCTCTTTTCTTTTTTTTCCCACCACTTGCCCATCGCTTTGTTCTTTATAAGCAATAACTTACAAAATAAGAAAACACAATGTATCCTGTCACCTATCAGAAGACTGTCATTATGTATAATGGCAAAAAGAATTTCTTACCGTTGCCCCCATATCTTGAAGTTGGTTCATAAATGTCTTTGAATAATTTTCTGTTTTTGTGGATGACCACACTTCAACATAGGCCACCACATCTGAAAACAAGATATTAGCATGAAATATACATTTGTACTTCCAGCATCACCTGCCCACTAGATTTTTATCCTGCTCTATTTACACTAAAAAGGAAATTTAAAATTTCTTCTAAAACCCGATTCAAAATGGCTTCAGTTCAATTTATGGTTCTTAAAATTTTAAGTGAGCAACAACCTTATCCATACACACATCATAGCTTATATTCCTAACACTTGATGCTCTTCCCAAATTCTTAAACTAGGCTTTAATTTTCTAGTGCGTAAGTCGTTTTCTCTAAAGGAACAGACAGTAAATATGTTAGGTCTTGCAGCCGAAGCGGTAGCTGTCACAATCACACAACGTCACGGTCAGAGCACAAAAGGAGCCATAAGCAATCAGTTAACAAGCCAGAACAACTGTATTTCAACAAAACCTTATTTATGGATAAGGAAATATAATAAGATATATTTTTCATTTTTCATTCTTCTTTTTCACCATTTAAAATGTAAAAAACATTCTTAGCTTGCAGACCCCACAAAAACAGACAGCGGGCCAAATATGACGGGGGGGGGCATAGTTTGTAGATGGACTCCAGTTCTGTTCTAAGTGGGGGGCAGGCAGCTGAGGGAGGTGTGACAGTGGAGAGCAAGGACAAACAGCTAGGGAGTTGGGGGGACCACGCCACGGAGGAATGGAAAGGATCGAGCGGATCTACCCTCACCGGCTCCCGGAGTGCATCCCCGACTAGGGGCGCCCTTCCTAAACCCCCCCCAATGCCCGGCAGGAAGTCTCCTCACCTTTCAAGAAGGTTAACTGCGGGGTTCCGCCGACCGCCATGACAGGCCGAGGGATCAGGACACAACGCAACACGCAGCTAGGAGAGCGGATGAAGCTTTGGGACTCGCGCATGCGCAAGACAGCGCACCATCCGTTCGGCGATCCACTCGTCAGAATAGTCTCCGCAGCGGAGAGGGCGGGGAAAAGCTGAGACCACGCCGCCAGAGGACGGTGGAGGGGGGGCCTTTCCTGTGGGTGGGCCCGCCTAGCTGCACCTCTAGACCATGGACCCGCAAGTCTCTCTGTCCTCTTGGGCGTTACGAGGACCGATGTCCCGTAAAACCCGAGGTCACCCTTCTGTGTCCATAAGGCGAGGAAGCTTTCTGGCGCCCCACCTGGGCTCCTCTGGGAGCTGAGGGCCAGAAGGGGGAGGGGCACAATCAGCCTCGCTGTCTTGCCCGGACCCCAGTGTGTAAGCTTGCTCAGAATTCCGACAAGAATGAGGTTACCCTCAGCTCCGACACCATGCGATACTCTGCGAGTGACAATCGGCAGCATACCTGTGTCTACGCGCGGAGTCACCGTCCGGGCGAATCCACCGCCCTCCCCCTGCCCAGGGCGCAGGGCACTCGCTGACCCGGACCCTCGATCCCGGGTGCATACTGAGACCTTAGAAACTCCGGGAGGACTCCAAAACCTCAGACGCCACGGGGCACCCTGAGACCTCGGATCCCCAGTGGGAGGAGGGAATGAAACCTCGGATCCCTCGGGGAAACCACGAGGCATCTGACCCCTAAAAGGGAACTCCAAGACCTCAGATCCCCGTCAGGTGACCCCAGAGCTCAGATTCAAGCAAGGCCCAGGCCGCCGATTTCCGCGGGACTACCCCACTAGCTCGGCAGCCCTCCTGGAGTCAAGCACCCCTGCAGAGGAAGCCAAGAGTCCTAGAGCTGTGGAGAGACCCTTCCCTATGCTAGTCCTGCACTCTGATCTTCAAATCTCCCACCTGTGCAGCTCCTTCCCCGCAATCCAGGCGGCAATGGTTTTTTAGTATGTTCACAGAGCTGTGTAATCATCACCACGATCGATTTTTTTATTTTATTTTTTTAATTATAGAATTGTGGGTACGAGTGAGGAATAACTACATAAGTAGGCTGCTTGCAGGTGAAGTTTGGTCTTGTCTCCCACTCCCCCTGGTGGCGAACCAGCTACGCCTTGTGTTGTCACCCCCGCCCCATTCTCCTCCTTCCTTCCCTCCCCTAGCAGTGCCGGGCAACTGATTATCCCACCCTTGTACTAATGTGATGTATGTTCAGGGCCCACTTATGCTTGAGAACATGCAGTATTCGAGTTCTTTCTTTCTGTGATAGTTCACTTAGTATTCTAGTTTCCAACTCCATCCAGGTTGCTGCAAAGTCCACGGTTTTGTGCTTTTTTATGGCAGTGTAATACTCCATCATGTACAAGTACCACATTTTCTTAACCCATTCCACTTTCTATTGAGCAGCAGGGTTGGTTTCATGTTTTCGCTGTTGTGAATAGTGTGGCAATAAACATTCTTGTACAGGTGTTTTTTGGTAGAGTGATTTATGTTCCTCTGGGTATACTCCCAGGAGTGGGATTGCTGGGTTGTATGGAAGATGAAACTTTAGTTATCTTAGGAATCGCCTCACTGTTTTCCATAGAGGTTGAACTAGCTTGCATTCCCGCCAACAATGTAGACGTGTCCCCTTTTCTCTGCAGTGTGCCAGCACCTGTTGTTTTTTTGACTTGCTAATGATAGCTATCCTTATCGGAGTTAGGTGGTATCTCATTGTAGTTTCGATTTGCATTTTTCTGATTAGTGAAGCTGAACACTTTTTCATGTTTCTATTGACTCGTATGTCATCTTTTGAGAAGTATCTGTTCATGCCCTTTGCCCACTTATTAATAGGGTTGTTTGTTTTTTCCTTTCACTTTGAGTTCCTTGTAGAACCTGAATGTTAGGCCTTTGTCAGATGCATAATTTGCAAATATTTTTCCCATTCTGTGGGCTTTCTCTTTACTCTCTTGACGGTTTCTTTTGCTGTGCAAAAGCTTTTCAGTTTGATGAGGTCCCACTTGTCTATCCTAGCTTTTATGGCATTCGCTTTTGGGAACTTGGTCAGTTCGTTGCTTAAGGATGCATAAGGGTGTTTCCTAAATTTTCTGCTAGGATTCTTACAGTTTATGTTTAGGTCTTTGATCTATTTTGAGTTGATTTTTGTATATGGTGATACATAGGGCCCAGTTTCATTTTTCTGCATCTGATTAGCCAGTTTTCCCAGCACCATTTGCTAAATGTGGTCTGCTTTCCCCAGTGATTGTTATTGGTAGCTTTGTCGAAGACGAGTTGGTTGAGAGACCATGTTTTTACTTCTGGAGTCTCTGTCCTATTCCATTGGTCTATGTCCTATTCCTGTACCAATACCATGCCATCTTGGTTACTATAGCCATGTAATAAAGTTTAAAGTCTGGAATTGTGGTACTTCCTGCTTTGTTCCTTTTGCTGAGGATTGTTTTGACTATTCATGCTCTTTTTTGTTTCCATATGAATTTCTGTATTTTCATTTCCAGGTCTGAAAAAAATGGTGTTGGTAATTTGATGGGCATTGCACTGAATCTGTGGATTGCCTTGGGTAGGATGGACATCTTGACAATACTGATTCTTCCAATTCATGAGCAAGGAATGTTTTTCCATTTGTTTGTATCATCCTTGATTTTTTTTTTTTTTTTTTTTTTTTGAGCAGTGTTTTACAGTTCTTGTTGTAAAGATCTTTCACTTCTCTGGTTAGGGAAGTGAAAGATCTTTTTTCTTTTTTTCTTTCTTTTTGTGGCTGCTGTGAATGGGATTGTGCTTTTTATTTGGTTCTCCGCCTATTTGTTGCTGGTGTGTAGAAATGCAAGTGTTTTTTGCATGTTGACTTTGTAACCCGAGACTTTACTAAGGTCTCTTATCAGTGCCTGCCAGGAGGCTTTTAACAGACTCCCTAGGGTTTTCAAGATATAGAATCATATTGTTCACAAAGGATAACTTAACTTCCTTTTTTCCTATTTGGATACACCTGATTTCCTTCTCTTGCCTGACTGCTCTGGCCAGGACTTCCAGCACTATGTTGAATAGGAGGGGTAAGACTGGGCATCCTTGTCTAGTTCTAGTTCTTAGAAGGAATACTTCCAGCTTTTGTCCATTGAGCGCAATGTTGGCTGTAGTTTTATCATAGATGACTCTCTACTGTTTTGAGGAATGTTCCTTCTATGCCTAGGTGCTCAAGGATTTTTATCAAGAAGGGATGCTGGATTTTGTCGAATGCTTTCTCTGCATCTAATCAGAAAGTCATGTGTTTCTTGGTTTTACATCTGTTAATGTGCTGAATTATGCCTTGCAAATTTTGAACCTGCCCTGCATCCTGGGAATGAAACCCACCTGATTATGATGGAGGATCCTTAAGATGTGTTATTGGAGCCGGGCTCGGTGGCTCAGCCTGGCGGATGTTGAACCTGCCCTGCATCCTGGGAATGAAACCCACCTGGTCATGTTGGATGATCCTTCAGACGTGTTATTGGATCCAGTTTGCTAGAATCTTGTTGATAATTTTTGCATCTAAGGTCATCAAGGACATTAGCCTGTAATTTTCTTTCTTTGTTGGGTCTTTGCCAGATTTGGGTATCAGTATGATGTTAGCTTCATAAAATAAGTTGGGGAGCATTCCATCCTTCTCAATTGCCTGTAATACTTTCAATAAAATTGTTATCAGTTCCTCCTTGTATGTCTTGTAGAATTCAGCTGGGAAGCTATCTGGTCTGGGGCTTTCTTTGGTGAGGAGATTTCTTATGACTGAGTTGATTTCCTGGATTGTTGGTCTGTTTAGAGTTTTAATTTCTTATAGTTTCAACATTGGGAGATTGCGTAATGTCAGAAAGTCCTCCATTGCCTTTAGACTTTCTAGTTTATTTGCACACAGGTTTTTATAGTAGTTTCTGATAATCTTTTGCATTTCTTCAGCATCAGTTGTGACTTTGCCTTTTTTGTTCCTAATTGTGTTTATTTGGACTTTTTGGGGTTTTGTTTGTTTGTTTGTTTGTTTTTTAGCTAATCTAGCCAGGGGTCTATTAATATTATTTATCCTTTCAGAGAACCAGTTCTTTGTCTTGTTGATCCTTTCTATGATATTTTGGTCTTCTGTATTCTTCAATTGTGACTTTATTTTAGTGATCTGCATTTTTCTACTGAAATTAGGATTCAGATGACCTTGCCTTTCTAGCTCTCTTAGGTGTGACATTAGGCGGTTTACTTGTGATCTATTGATGTGTGTGTATAATGCTATGAATACCACAGTCCATTTTAGAACATTTCCTCATACAGTGAAGAAACTCTATAACCATTAGTAGTCATTCCTCATTTATCTACCTACTCCTCTTTACCCTCACCCCCCCCACCACTCTAGGGCCCCAGGCAATCACTTGTCTAGTTTCTGTTTCTTCTTTTCTTTTCTTTTCTTCCTTCCTTCTTTCCTTCCTTCCTTCCTTTCTTCCTTCCTTCCTTCCTTCCTTTCTTTCTTGTAGGATTTATTGAGAGGACAGAAAAGCTCCCAGAGCAGGAGGGGACCCTAGGGGATTGCCCTTGTTTCTGTTTCTATATGGTTGCCTACTCTAAACCTTTCTTTTTCACTCCTGTCTGTGATTGTATATCCTTTGATCCACATCTCCTCATTCCCTCTCCCCACCAACCACTCCAATCTCTGGTTACCACCATAATACTCTCTCCAGTGAGGTCAGCTTGTTTGGATTCCACATATGAGAATATGCAGTATTTCTCTTTGTGTGCCTAGTTTATTTCACTTAACATATTGTTCTCCAGGCTCATCCATGTTAACCCCCCTGACAGGATTTCATTAATTTTTATGGCTGAATAAAATTTAATGAATTATGTATACCACATTTATTTATTCATTCATCCTTTGAGGGACACTTAGATTAATGCTATGTCTTGGCTATAGTGAATAGTGCTGATATTTGCCAAATATCAGTTGACTGTAAATGTATTTCAGAACTCTACATATTCTGTTGCATTGGCCTATTTGTTTTTATGTCAGTGCCATGCTGTTTGGTTATTGTTAGGGT